ATGGTCCTTCACGATACTTTCCCCTAAACCTTTTCTTCCCCAGCAAAAGCGCAGCGTGAGCCGCTTGGTCATCGCAGTCAAGGGAAACAGCCTCTGTTAAAACACCTACAAGTGCTTCCGACTTTTCGCCATACTGTTCCACCGCCTTCCTTCCCATCGTGGCAATTGAGTCTAACTGAAAACCCAAGTTCGAAGTGTGTTTGTCAATAGGTTGTTGCATGTTTACGTGTCCCCACCTCACGCATATCCTCCAGTAAGCCTTCTTCTGCCATTCTCAAGAAAGCCACGCGCTCTTTCACCGTGGTTTCTTGCGATGCACCAACACACCTCGGATCACGGAACCGATCACCTGCTGCGATGTCCTCCAAAACACACATCCCATGTGCTTCGAACAAGGCACGACAAACCAAGAACGAAGCATTGGAAGGCCATCTTGAACGCCTCTATATTATGTGTGAACTCTTCACAGAACTCTGAGATGGAAGGCGGTGCATCTTTCTCTCATCATATTGTCTCTAGTCCTCCACCTTCCATCAAGCCAAGTTTGATCAAGCAGCATCAAACCTTGTTTCTTTTCAGATCCTGAATCAACTCGGTCAGGCACCACTTGTAGTCATCCCGGTGCAGGATCAGGAGCTCAGTGCGCTTCAAGGCAGTACAGCGACCCTTCCTGTCGGCCCGGCGGGACAGGGGGAAAGGTGTTCAGTTGGCCCACTGTAAAATGATCAAAACCGAGCCCTACTGCTCAAAGGTACAAGCAGTGTGGAACGCAACTAACGTAATGTTATTGCAGCTTGAACGGCCAGAAATATGATGACGAATACTCATATTGAATACTCCACATTATAAACAAACCTATACAATTGAATTTGATGGCCAAGACCTTAATTCAACCCTCCACATGGGAGGTCTGGATCTCCTCTTACAGTCTTCACTCATCAGAGCGATCTCCCCAAAGACCTGGCATGTCTTTTCCACAGAACATGCGAACGAACCCAAGCAAGCTCAGAACATGGCACAGAACGCAGCATCAACTACCCTTGACTCAAACCAACTCACCAATGCTCAACCTGAGCGAAGGATGGCAACCGAAGGATGCAAGAAAAACGCATGGATGCCTGTCGCCACCTCTGCATGTCGCACTCACCAGCCCCAAATTCCCGGTCTCACCGGTCATCGGTACCTTTCCCGCATCCATCTTGGCGCCTTTCACCTGAGAATTTGCGCGAACAATGGCGCTTGGACAGGCACAGATGAGACGTGAAAACACAAAAAAAATCGCATCAGAACGGTGACGTCTGGTCTGGTGACTCAAGAAGTAAGACCCAGCACCCGCAGACCCACAGGTGTTGGTTGGTTGATGCTTCCTTTACAAGAAGGTTTTGGGCGGCACCCTGTTTCTGAGTCACAGCCATAAGTGTTCAAACGTCCTTCCCCTTTGATGTGAGCCGGATTACAACAATTTTATACAGCATAGAAAGCATATTGCTGAAAAAAACAACATGGCAATGAACGGCCTTTTGACTGATCCCCATCTCTCGCTCGATGCTCTTGCCCGCAACTGGGTTTATCCAGTGGGCTGCTACGGGACGACCTACGGCCTCGTGGAAGTGGTGGACACAAAAACGGGTGTCGTAGGAGCAAGAACGCTACTTGGGGCTCCTGGCCTTACTACTAGGAACAAGAACGCTACTAGTAACAAAGGGCATCTTTGTCATGGTTGAGAAACTGTGTCTGAGTGTAAGATGGCTGGAGCGGTATTCTGATTCTAGCCTTTGGAACAGTGGTTATCGAATGCTTCAAGTTGCTTTGCCTTGTAGATAAATGATCCTCTTTTGGCATGTGGAATGCGGCATGCTCGGCTTTTACTGTCACCAGCATGGGATGTTCTTTCCATTCCTCAACCACCTGACCATCCACAATGTGCAGGGATCTCTCTCAAGATCTTCTCTCCTTCCACTTCCACAAGTAGATTCAATCAATGACCCTCTGCTCAGCTGAATCATCCAAACGGCCACTCCCTGGAATTAAAGAAAACAACAACAACAACAACCATGGCCGTGGCAGACAAAAGCAGAACAATCTACACTCCCGGAATCATCACAGAAGTGGAAAATCACCTACTTTGTAGAGGAACATGATCTTCCTTTCGGGGCCATGCCATCCACTTCCACGATGCTTCCAGGCAAATCTGAAGGTTTGGGATGGCACCCTACTTGGATCAGACGCGTTCCCCCAAATCGAAAAAAATAAAGCTTGGCTCGTTAGGATCTATTTTGGATGTGCAAAACACCTCGGCAACTCGGACGCGTCATCCAGAGTCGGAGCGAACACGTGTGCGCAGCGCGGCTAGCCGCTACAAGTGATGAAATCCCCCCCATTCGGAGCTCATGTGGTGCCAGGATTAATTATTGTTGTTACTAGCAGTAAGGCACTTGTTACTAGTAGCGATGCACTTGTTACTAGTAGCGTGGCACTTGTTCCTACTAGCTTCCTTTAAAGAATTGTACTCCAAGATGCGAAAACACCTGTTCTTTGTGAGTCCACGGTCCGCCGTTTGGAATCTGGAAGTCTTTCACAAAGGAAACATGTAAGGCACTAATGGTGTGGACGCACTACCAAGCATGGCGACCAATCTTCAATGTGATAAGAACCAATTGGCAGAGTATTTTTCATGCTCCACCAGCTTTGAAGTCTCAGAATGTATTTCGTTTGACATGTTGTCCAATTCCATGTGTTTTCACCCGGAACCGATGTGTCACAGCCGTGAACCCAGCCTGGGTGGGGCACTCTTTTCCTCCTAAAGGTCAGTGTTGCCTTCGATGGTGGCCGCTAAACATCCCAAAGCTCCCAAGAAATCGGCGTGTCTCAGGAAGAGTGCCGGACCACCTTGGTTGCGAGGTGGCTGTAGCAGAAACGAGAGGTTGTCTAAGACCAACCATCGCTCTTGTCCTTCTCGGATTCCTTGGAACCTTGTGGAACCTTGTTCCCAAGTATTCTATCCACAAGTATCGCTCTCCTCGTGGTTATATAATGGTCTGCGCCTCAAACCACCGCATGACCTGGATGCCGTTTGTGAGGACACGGTTTCTCTTCTCACACACCTCCCGAATTGGCATCACGCACAAGAAACCCTCCAATTCGCCCCAACCCCTCCCCAACCCCTCGTTTGACCACTCGACCATTTCATCAAACTGTCCACATTCAACCCCTACCTAACTCCCCCACGCCATCCCCCCATACCGCCACATATCTGCCACATCTCATCCCATGCCCAACCATCCCCCAAATTTCTTGAGATCTTCTTGGCCCCTCCTTCAACCTCCTTCCCCTCCCATCCAGTCCCAGTCAAGGCACAGTCCAAGTTCCGGAATGACCGGCTGATGATCTCCCAGGCGCGCCGGTTCTCCGCCAGGAAGCCGCCCACGAAGAAGACCGGTGTCTTCCGCTCACCTCGGTGTTTGAGGTGGCCAACTGGGCGCAGGATGCTTTGATATGCTTTGCTCCATTTGTGGAAAAAGGTATGGAAGTTGAAATTCGATGATGTGAGCTGTGCAGATGCTCGGATCAGAAAAGTGAACCGGGTCACAGCGACCTTCATAACACAGTAAAACAAAAAAAGAACTACAAGTTTGAAGAAAACTCGTACTTACGTGGCTTGACACAGGTGTTTTCCCACTTCCATGTCCATCTGGTATTTTGTCCCAAAGCCTCCCCCGTTTCTCCCGACCTGGATAAGGTGCAGCGCCCTTGAGTTGTGCCTTGGACACCAGCGGCTGGGAGGAGTCGCCGCTCAAAGACCGAGCACGAGCCTCCTGTGAATGAACACCGGCTCAGGCGTTGGGGAAAACAAGAACTGGTTCAGGCGTCCTGGGAGGCCCAAACAAACAAACTCAGCATGGCCTATCAGACTAAGCAAGACTTCGTTCAGTATGGATTACGCATCTCCTGGCAAGACAAAACCTCACAAAGAAATTGACGGTGTGTCACGGTGTGTTTCAAGTTTCTTCAATCAATTATGCCGATCTTCACAAAGCGTGACCAAGAGTGGCCAGGGATAAACTCGGAGGATTGCCAGAGGACAAACTCGGGGGTCAGAGAGGCCGCTGGGCAAAGCGACATGAAGCATGAAGCTTACAGGGTCCTCTTGCATAATGTAGACTGGTGATTAATAACAAAACCCCCAAGATCATGATGTAAAGCTATTCTGGTAGGGAAGGTTATTAATCAACAATAGTCTATACTATACATCTATCTACAATGTCTGCATTGCTCGGGACTCACTACCCTCCTGAAACTCACATTGACCCCTGAGCGTGGAAGACGATTGGCCTCTTCAATTCAATTTAAATCTGTGGTTCGAAGAAGTGTAGTCGTCCGCCAGCCAGATATTTGATGACCTTCAACTATTGTGGGCAACCCGGGACAGAAGCTGTGTTTCCCACATCTGGGAAACTTTCCAAGCTTCGTCCTCAGCCCAACTGGGATCGTAGGGCCGCGCCCAGTTGATGCCCTTCTGTCTTTTTGCTACGATGCTTGATCCACACACCCAGCACAAGTCGAGGTACGGCTCGAACAGCACATTCGTTCACCACCAGTGTTGGCCTGGAATTATGCAGGATGCTTAAGTCACACCTGCCTCCCCCAGCCCTTCTGTCCCTCCCTCTCCTGAGCGGGTTTCTTCTTCTCCGACCCGTGCTCGGCCACCGAACGTGAGAAGGCTCGTGCAATGACCGTGCTCGCCGAGACCACCATGGTCAACACGGCCGCAGCCACGTCTGCCTCCTGGTAGGCTGGATGATCAAAGTCCTTCCTTAGTGAATCTGAATACAAAACGTAGTGAGTCGGGGTGAGAATCCTAAGGTGCTCAGTGTCGGGGTGAGTTGTGGTGCTGGGAGGTCGTCCAAGAAGACAGCTGGTCTAGAATGGTCTATTGGAAGGCCTTCACAGGTCTTAATGATAAAGTTAATCATCCAACAGCAGCAATAATTACTCATGAAACAAATCTAGCAATCTTCACAAACCTGCCACCATGCTGTATTTGGTTGTGTAAGAGCTATATCTCTTCCTTTCAAGCTCCAAGTTTCATGGTGATCTTGGCGAAGTGCGCAGCGGTCAAGCCAGGCGGTAAGCCCAGATTTCCACATCCATCCTGTCCGTAGATGTCACTGACCAACTTGTTCACCCTGCACCGCCGCGAAAAGGTTTGGCAATACAGGCTTCGCCCCACAAGGGTCGGCAAAAACTCTACTCTGCAAAATCCGTCTCAGACATGTTCATCATCGGGGTCATATCCGACATATCCTTCCTGAAAGAAACTTGAATAAAGAACACACGCACTTGATCTACCAATCTACTATTCTGATCTTTTCTGCGACCTTCCACATCATCCAAACTCCGTTCATCCACGGAGCACCTGGTAGCATCCCCCTTCTGCGCCAAGGCCAAGCAGTCAGGGTAGGTCTTGGCAGAGGTCATCATCCTGACTAAGCCCAAGAAGGCGGCACCCCCTGTGGCGGTGCCACCCAGCCGCGTGAAGTAGGGCTCCCCACTCTCGCCGGCGTCCAAGCGAAGCACACTCACGCCGGAACCGATGTTTACGATGATGCAGGGGTACAAGGGATCGGGCCAGTCGACCATCACTTGAGAACCATCTGGCATGATTTGAAACACCTCAGGCCAGGTGGCTGAATGTATCTGAGAAGGCCCAGAAAGAAGGTCTGAAAAGAGGATCGTAGAAGGTTTAAAAAATGTGACCCCCCTCTTCACAGTTTCGATTTTGCAAGAGACAGAGCAAAGAATGGCAAAGAGGCCCCAAAACAAACTGAAATGGCAAAGCTGCCTCATCTTTGGGCTTGTTTTCATGGAGGAAGGTCAATCCACTCACCAGAGACTCCATCTCTTTGAAGGGCACCACTTCCACCGTCAGTGAATCCATAAAGAGCTTTGCCAAGCGATGCGCCCCGCCGCCCGCCGTGACGATGCGCCGGCTCATGGCGCCCGGGGCAGACGAGGGGCCCTCGCCCTTGGGGTCAAGGTTTTGGAGGCTTTTCAGAACCATCTCCTTAGGTGCACTCATCGAAATTCATCAAACATTCCATCATTTCAAACAAAAGAAATGTAATCCGGCCCACCTAATAAAAAACACGTACCCCCCCCCCCCTAATAAGGAAACCTCGGTCGCATTTTTTTTAATAGGGGGTCCCTGAAATCGGGGGGTCCAAAATAGGGTCACCTGGGAAGAGCTTCAAAACCAAAAAATAAATCAGTAAAATTTTATATAAAATCCTTTATTAAGCTCGTATCAAAAATGCAAAAAAGCTCCAGATCGAAGGGTCTTCCTTTTCCCCTACAAAAACCTTCATTAGAATAGTAGACTAACAGCTAAAGCTTTCGAAAGGTGATGTCGCTGTGCCATGCGGTGTTGCATGACCTCGGTGGCAAGTGCGTTTGCGTGAGTCCGTGCCATTGGGGGAAGGAAAGCCTGCTGGTGTAAGCGCGGCGTGTCATGGTGGATAGACAGGGCGGACAGAGGTGGGCAGTTACGGTTGTTTTTGGAACCTAATTAAAAAAACTCCTCCAAAGTCGGCAATGTTGGTAGTTTAGTAGCGGCTTGAAAGGGCGGTAATTTAAAAACAAATATAACCCGTATTTAGGGGTTTCCGACATGACTTTTTTCTAATAGGGGTCCGTTTTTTAATAGGTACTCGGGATTAGTATAATGTAGCTCAGGCCCCGACGAAAAACACATCGACCGAACACCTCACGACCCGTCGACGAAGATGTTCCGTTCTTTCCATCGATCCGTCGAACTTGTCTGTGACGGAGCGACCCGGAGCTCGCCCAAAAAGAACGGCACTTGGCGTCACAAAGACGTGTGGTGAGGAAGAGCTACTTAGATCAGATAGATCAAAGCAGACGCTCTGACGCACACAACATCACACAGATCGCCTGTTGGTCTGACACAGGTCTGAAAGATCGCCTTGGGTGTTCTCCCGATGGCAGCCACATCACTAGCCACATCCACTTCTAGTTCTGTCAGTGTTTGAGAGCACGTGAAGGACAAATCTATTCACAATAAGGTGGCCCAGTTATTGCGTCGCAAGGAGGAGTTTCGGGCATCAAGATGGGTCCGATTCGCAGGCCATCGAAAAAGCATGCACGAGGTCGGTGGAAAAACGCGCCTGCCGTATTTTTTTAATGGTTTAAGAAAGACGGTTTAGGTTAGATGTAGGTCAGGATTGAGTGAGTAGGTGTGCAAATGCAGATTCAAACAGGCCAAAATGGAAGAGTCCATATTACAAATCTGCAAGTCTTGGCGTTGGGACTGGGACTGGGTGAATGTCGTTGGGACAGTGATCCTCCAGAACTCTCACACCGAGCAGTCGTATTTGCTATGGAAGTTCCCCAAGTTTGTGGCAGGCCTACCTGTGTGACTGCAACGAGTTGGACAAGTTATTCTTATTTTGCGAGAGAGAGAGAGAGACAGAGGGAGAGGCGAAAAAAGACTTGCCATTGATCATTGAAGCCCAGTCTCTAAGTAGTAGGTGGCTCCAGATAAAAAGTGCACATCATGAATCACCTCCTTCACCTTCAACTGAAAAGAGAGTTCCTGATGAAAGGTCCCAGTCTTGCCAAAGGTGCTGGGTGACAGGTGTGCCTCTCCAGGCTTCAGAAGCTGAGCCGCCTTGGCCAAGGTGCCTCCAATATCCATCCCAAAGACCCCCTCACCCTCGCGCAAAGTCCTCAGGACTTCCAGCACATCGTCCGGCATGTAGTCCTGCCAGACAGCGGTCAGGAGGAAAACCCTTCGGTCGCAAGCTTCGGAAAGGGTGAAGCAAAGTACGTGGGCAAAGTACGCTACACGAGAAAATGGCTCCCGGATTGAGATCAATATCAATGAAGCATCAGTTCTGCAGAAGTTTGACGGCACCATTGTCTCAGGATCTCAGGATCTGAAAGATGAAAGTGGGGTTGACCGTGTTAATATATATGGGCAGCCCTTTCTAGCCTCCCTATACTTCACTTCAGGAGTTTGGGAGCTTTCAATAGCTTTCAGAATCTTAGCGGTAAAGGCCGGCAGAACGTGCCGCATCAAATCCCAGCTCATCCTGCGAACGATCATGCGTCCAACCATCCAAGAAGTGCCATTTCTGCAAAGCTTCTTTTGCCTGCGGCTGAGCCGGACTGCCGGTGGCTATCAATGGGCATTTCCTACTGTGGACCGCAGGCAAGACAATGGACTGGGCCGGAGCTCTACGGAACGATGTTTCTTCCAATAAGAATGTAACCAAAAGCCCTTTTGCATCTTTTTGCCATAGACCCCTCGCTGCAGCCTGCATGTTGACCCGTCCTCGTTGTCTTTCAACTAAGGGATGAGTCTCTTTTGACTCAGCGAACGACTCCTCCCTCTGTCTACAGTCGTGAAAAGACCGTACGACCTCCATCCGTCCAGACTTCCGTCACCGTCGGACGGACCGGGCGCTCCTTGTGTCCCAGCTCCTCCAAGCTCTCGCCCAAGTTGCTCAGGATGCCATGACTATGAGACTCGTGCACCTTTGGACTCGAGCCGGGACCCGTTGGTCCGCCCGGAACGGCGGTTCCGGTGAGATCCTGTAAGGCTTTGCGAAGACTCGCCTCAGAAGTACAAGCCTTGGCAGCTGCCACGACCTCCTCTTGGAGTTTGGACATGGGATAAGCCATGGCTTTGGAAAGAAAGTGCCACCCTCTCAGTGTTTTTTGTGGGTTCTTGGGTCTGCAAGCCAAGAAAATGCGTCAGCTTGGAATAAAGGAGTCAAGTAAAAGAAGAAACAGCTTGATCATCTCAAGATGTTCAGGCAACTCGTGGTTGAGAGTCTCTCCTCTGGTGTGCTCGAAAGCCTGACTCATGTTTCACGCTTGAAAAGTCGTAGTCTTCCCCTCTTGCCCTTTGAGCATCAAGGCTTGCAGCGGACATGATTCTTGCGACTCCAAGCAAAAGGATTCAACATCTACCAATCACTCATTCAGACTACAAGAAGCAGCTAGCCAAGCTGCCGTGGCGGAATGGAACAAGCATGGAACAAGCTTACACGGCAATGCTATGATATCGATATAGTTACTATAGGCTTGCTAGGAATCAGGCAAAGTGCATCTCACCATCCTTGCTCAGCTTTTCGTCGGGAACCTGCAAGCGGATGGCGAATCTCCGGACATCACTCACCCTAGCGAGGGGTGGCAAGTTTGGAGACATCCACCCGGTTCATATTCCTTGGCTCAAAGCATTGCAGGATTGACCAGTTTGGGTGGTCATCTTGTGACTGCCTCCCGACGTCCCCCCGCACGGTGTCCCTTTTCTCCGAACGGCCTAGCCGCTACGGTTCGTCAGCTGGCCAAACGTGAACGTTGGTCACTTGGCCCAAAATCACCGCTCCTCCAGACTGGTCAAACGTCCGGTCTTAGCCAACGCAAGCTGTACAATCCGGCGACTGGTTGCCGAGTCAAGGGCAAGAGATGAGATAGATAAGCTGAAACGGCATGCTTTGAAAGAACGGAAATTGAAAGTAATTCTGGTTTCCATAGTTGCCCACCTTTTGCTCCTCGTCAAAGTCATAGAAATTCAGAAATTCAGACTCATTTCTAGACGTTTAGTGTCTGTCTGCTCATCAAACGGAGCCCAGAAAGTCGAACACAAACTCTAAACACCTCGAATGCAAAAAGTCTTCAAAGAAGTGGCCAGGTACATCTGCTATTGACTCAGGCCACTTGGAATCTTCAAAAACCGTGCAAGACAAGAACCCAAGACGTACGAGGTCACCAGGCTGCCTGAAAAAGCCCCCCCGGGAAAAGAAGTCTGAAGAACGTGTCAAAGATACCTTGCAAAGCTGGATATAAATCCATTACAGTATGAGTCTGGGTAACATCAGTCTTGGTATGAGCGGAGGTTTATGGGGTGTCTATGGTTTAGGGGTCCCAATAGTGCCAGACATGCCCAGTATATCCTTGCACAGCATCATGGTAAGCTTGCCTGATTTGGTGGCAAGGGCCATTCGAAATCATCCCAAAGGCTCAAACAATCGCGTTCCCGAAAGTAAGAGTCGGCACAGCCAACCTCTCCTGTGGGGAAGGACATAGCTGCACATGAATGAGTTCGCATCAGCATCCAATTTGAAATCCCTCTTTGTAAATCCAGTGGCACAAACAAGCCAAGCTCATCAAAACCACACTGGGCCTTGAAGTCTGTCAATTGTTGGGCCGTCTCACTTCATGGACACTGATGGTGCGACATTCTGCTCCCATTCTGAGACAATTGAATGGCACCCATTCTGCTCCCAGTGCGCCAACCTTCATACCCGATCAGTTGACACCTCCATCATGCGCATCATGCTGATTGGTATGCTCAACTTGGTCCTGCAGGCTGTAAACAGACAGTCCAAGAGAGTCTAAGCGCGGTTGTGGAGAAGAGACAAGCACCTTGCTGAAATGCCATGATTTCAATCCCTCAGGCCTTGGGCAGATGGCACAGCAAGTGCTTCTTGAAACTCTCCGTGCGGCCCACAGGTTCCACGCTTGGGGGCGGTTTGATCACAGCTTCAAATTGAACCTGAGGGCCGTACGGAAGCAGGCGGCCCTCAGGTCTCCCCCGAAATCGAAATCAGGCCGATGACGTCAGCGTCCGTGCTCGTCCAAGTGACTGGCGCTGGTCGACTCCCATTTAGGGCAGCGGCCTTTCGCTTGGCTGCCAGTAAGAGCTTGCCGCTTGGGGGCTCTAGACCTCATCGAATCAACAGGTGCGTGGGTCAGGAAAGCACACATGCGAGACTCTGTGAGACTCAAACCACGAGAATGAAGGGCCCCTAGGGCCGGGTCTGAAACCGGCACGGAAAGGCCATAGGCCCAAAATGTAAAGACCAGAAACAATGTTAAGAGTCTCGAGTCAGTTTTTGTTAATTGGAACTTCACACATTCATGTTACATATCAGTCAGAAATCATCGTGTGGAAGCAAGGAAACCTCCTCTGTGCAGTCCAGTTCCTCACTCTTTCAACAGATTCGGTCTCAGCACATCCTTTGATTAAGTATATATTATATCATATGTGTGTGTGTTATTGATTGTTATTGTACAGTATCAACAGTCCGTAGCCCCAAGTCCATCTTTCCTTCTAACTCCCTTCTCAGAAATTTGAGAGGCTTACCAAGGTTTCGCAGCAAAGGAAAAACAGAAAAGCCCAACTAAACATCTTTGGCTGTGGGTCATAGCACCTTGGCACTCAAAACGAGGTCATCCAGGTTGCCGGATGACTACTTAGACTACTGGTGTTGGTTTCCGAATGAAGCACTCAGGGGCGGTGGTGGGTGAACACGTCCCGAATTCAGCTGAGTGAAGCACCCAAGGCCATGATCAAGTTGCTACTACCTCGGCCGAGTCGAAAGGGGCGTTCACTCAAAGTAAGCAACCAAGTTGTTTGGCAATCGGAAAGACTCTCATTCGCCCATGCTTGTTGGTGGAAGGTGAACCTTTGCTGGACATGCAAACACAAAATCAAAGCTTGAGACATGCCCAGCTCCTTGTTCAAGCCACTCTGATTCTGTGCCATCCCGAAGTAGAGGAGACAACTCTGGAGTATGAAACGGCTGCGGCTCGCATCAAGCTCCATCAGGCGACCACCCGGAAAGATCTGGTTGACCCGGGGGTGTCACGTGGTTTCACAGTGGAAGACTGCTCAGATCTTCAACGAATCAACGAAAACACACGAAAAACCTGGCCTCGAGTTGGATTCGCCCAGATCGGATGATGTACAACTTGTCTCCTGGCACAAGCTCACTGTCGGCAGCTTGAAACAAAGCTCGCCTGTCTGAGTCTTCGACGTCTTCAACTTCCATGTCTGACCCCATCTTGTGGAAGGAAGTGAATGGAAGTGACTTGGGAGTCTTTTGGGTGCATGATGGTGCATGGGAGTGGAGACTGCTCTAATTACTCTAATTCCTTCAAAGACACAAGATCAAAGTTGCTCCTACATCACCAAATTCAAAGATCTGCTCGTTCTCCTTGAACTCCTGCCAGCCAGGAAAGAGGCCTTATGTCATACTCAACACCTCACACTCCGCCCCTTCTGTGTCCAACACACCACCAAGTGCCACTTTCTTCATCAAGCGACCAACCCGCACCTCCAGGGTGAGGCGTTGACCTGTAGCGACCGGCTTGGAACGCCGTCCCGGACGAAAACCGAATTCGCAGCTGAAAGATGATGTGCCGCACCGGTTTCAGTGTCAAGATAGCTCGAAAGAACTACAGGACGCGATGCCGCTTTACTTGTAGCTGTTTTGAAGAGTGAATCCCAAATTGTAGCTCAATCGCCGCATCTGTTCAATGCTTTTTCAGGAATGTATGATGCAATATCATGCGATATCTCAATCGAACAACAAAACCATAAAGTTCAATGAGTTGTTGAAAGTGCGTTTATCACCAAAAGGTTACTCCGTCCAATATCGAAGTCTCTTGCAGCATACCCCCCTTACTATTTGTTTTCAGCAAAAGCATTCCCTTAAGCCTTAAGAGTATTCCACTAACCCAGCTAACCATTGCCAATAACTAAATATAACTATTCGTGGCACCCCGAGTGAAAACTGTATGCTGCATACAAGGTGATCTGTGGAAACCCTGCCTGATGCCTGTATCAATCCTACTACATGTCGTGAATACACGTGAGCTCTTTGTGTAGGCTTAACAAAACCAAGGTTGCTTGATGTGTTTTGGTGCCACCTGAGCTTCCTCCGGTAGGTCTCAGGCTTCATCCCGGTCCCCGGACACACAGCTCGCTTGACCGACTTCTCCAAGTTGGAGAGAAACCTTAGGCTCGGCAGGACTCTCGAGTCCATTCCACGCTCCTTCCTCCTTCGTGGAATGCGGGTGAGATGTCCTAAGGCTCGGATATGAAGTGGGTGTATCCCTTGAACCGCATGCCGGTTCCGGGTATCCCTTGAAGCTTGACATGGCGGCACCCCACGAAAGGCCGAAAAGGTCCACTCCGAAAAGGGCATTGTGACAGTTGGGGTCCAAGCATTTTGGTGTGTTGGAACTAGAAACCGCAACAAGAATCATCCCCTGCTAAACACCAGCTGAACACCAGCCGAACGCAAGTTGATGCGAGTTACTCCCCTGCTTTTGCTGCCCCGAAGCTAAACGCAAGATCTTGGATGAGCTGATGCGAGTTCGGGATTTGGGAGCAAAGGAGCTTTCTTTTTGGTGGACCCATCCTATTCTCCGTCTGGGGCACTCTTCGGTTCACTTGCCCAAGAAACGGATCTTGCAGCTTCTCGATGGAAAGGAAGATCTCAGCGACAGATCTACCAATCTCGTGATGTTGAAACTCTTCAGACTGGTCAAAATCAACCTGTTGCGGGTGAATTTTGGAGGACATCCTCGGCGCATTTTTTCATCACCCTGGGCAGTGCAGAGCAAAAAAGTAAAAACACTGATCCGTTCAACCTCTGCTGCTATACCCGAGCTTCTCCCAGCCTCTTCCACTTCCATGTCACTCCGCATGTCTGGTGGTTTCACCAGGATCTTCGACAAGCCTCACAGGATCGACATGTCCGTCTCTCCGTTGTGTTGGGACCGGCAAAACCAACGTCGCCGCCACATGGCGACGTACGTGGCAGCACGGCCGCACGTGCCTCGTCTGGTTGGTGAGAGCTCCCCATCACTGGGCGCCTGCGACACGCACTCTGGGGAGCATCAATCTGGGAATCTCTGCGTGTATTATGAACCTCCTTGTCAACATATTATGTCAACCAAAAAACAAGACAACGCTAGAAGGGAGGATATTGAGTTCAATGCGTTGGGTCCCAGCTTCCATCTCATTTAAGGTGAGACATGCTCTGGGACTACGCTGCCATACCAAGATCTCCGAAGTCATCCGAACCACATCAGACCGGACCAGTCGATGAGCCCTCCCAGCCGGAGAGTCCATGTCGCTGATGTCCCTCTGCAGGACCGGACCTGATGCGATGCTGAAGATAAGCTGAAAAGGCGTAGTCAAAGACTCATACCTTATGGATCCTTATGGTCTTTACAGCCAAATGGGGTCTAGGCCACGGTGCCCAGTCCAGACCTTAGAATCTTAGAACCCACTATACTGGCCTTTGGTGATGATGTGATTTTGGTTGTCCGGTCTCCTGGGTCTGGGTCTCCTTTCACTCACATTCCGATCCATCTGTGACTTCCACCAGCTCAGAGCTGCAGCAGCCCAATGCATGCTAACAAAATCTACCAAAGGTGGGTCTACAGACAATTGCTGTCGAACTCTGACAACATCTGACAACCATCGGCTCGTGCTGTTTGACTGTCTGGCATTGCACTGGTCATCAGGTCAACTGTTCTGTGCGAAGTCCACCCTACGACATCAGATTCTGGGGAACAGTGTAGCACATATCGAAATGAGCTGATGCTGGCAGCACGGTAGGCTAGTACTACCTCCGACTACAACATCCATGACGGTGCTCTTGCATAAAGCTCTAAGACCCTCGCGATGGGCTTCCACCAGGGGCTCATCTTCGCCAGTCTGACTGGAGCCTCGCAGAAGCAGTGTGTCACAACAGCCAGAACGAAAAAAACCTCAGATTTCCACCCTTCAAACGCCATCATCTTATTCAGATATCTTCGGTGTTGTTTTCAATAGACCCCCTCACAGCCGGGCCTGGCTCGCACTCATGCTCGCCTGACACCTCAAGCACCTCTTCCGCAGCCTCAAGCACAACAGCTGAAGACAGACAAACTTCCCAGGTGCGTCTCAAAAGCTGGCAAACCCTCAGATCCGTTGTCGTTGTTGTCCAATTTATATTACGTCCGTGCGTGATTCCGAGACACTCAGAAAAACCCTCCTTTATCTTTGCCAGTACCCTCATGAAAAAAGAATTGGGACCACTCCATGCTCCCGGAAGCCCAAGTTCCAGGCACCCCCAACCATGCCCGAAGCCCAGGAGGCAGCTCTCCGGAACTTGCGGCATGAGACCTGTGCGAAGCTCCGAGTTTGATGTCGAGTTCGATCCGGAAGGCCATCGGTCGAACGATCGAAGACTTCGGTGGGATCAAGTAACTAATCAACATCAGGTCAGCAACTACAGGTTGTGTCAACATCCTACTTGATATCAACTTTGATGGTTCAAGTGAGTAATGATCCAAGAGCCTGCAGGGAAAATATTCGCCCGGATCATTGAAACATCGAACTGCTCATTGCTGACCATCGGCGCTTGGCCCTGTACCTCCAACAGCTGGGCCAAGCTATGCTTGTGCTTGAGCCAGCTGGCTGACATTGGAAGGCCAAGTGTTTCATTAAAAACCACACGCTAATGTCCAGGTCAGACAGGTTGATGTTTTGTAGACCATTCCACGGATCTACTTTCCCATGCAATACAGACTTGCAAATCTTTCGGGACTAAAGGCAAAGATTCACCATGTCTGGTGGGTTCCAGTGCATGAAGCATGCGATAAGATCCCAAAGGTCTGGTGGCGGCGATGACAACATACTGATCTGCACCTTTGAAGCTTCGTGTGCTTCTATAAACTGCTCTACCCCTCCGCGCGCGGGCCCCCCCGCACTTGGAGCACGAAACGGGACGAAAAGAGTAAACGACAATGATTGGATCCTGTTTCGGCGTTCAAAGGGAATCGAAGCACTTTCAGACGAAGCACCATGAAAACATGGAGTCTGGTGCCAGACTCCGCCCAAAAAGTAACGAGTCCTTCCTCGACCGGACCAAACGTCCGGCTTCTCCGCTTTCGACCGGCGCTCGCGCCAGGTTTTTTGTCGTCCCGAGGGCTGAGGGAGTCTTCAGTCTCATGAAGCCTGAAACACAAGAGGAAAACTAGGACTGGAGAAATCGCGGAAATCGCAGGTCTCTTGTACTTCTGACATGTTCAGCCAACTTCTCTCTTGTTCCATGCCAAGTTGCCTCGTTTTTTGCCTTTCAAAACCACCGAAGTTGGCATCCCTGCTGCCTCATCGTCGGTGAAGACTGCAATATCCTCGGTTTCACAGTTTTTGGCATTCAGAAAGAGAAAACAGTCAGTTCTGGGTAACTTTCCAGATCGAAGGGCCCTTTCCGCCTTCCACTGCAAGTCACCATGGTACAAATGATTGGTTCTGGGGTCTTCTTGAATAACTACAGTCCATGATACAGACCCATGTTGAATTGTTGAGGCACATCGATCGGACTCTATCCAGTATTTCTCCAGCCTGTGGACTCTGTCATCCATGTACCAGAACCCTTTTTTGGCATCCAAGTCGGTCAGCGACCCGACCTGTCCTCATCCAAATCGGCTAGGAGACTGTCTCGATCATCTGACCTGCGCAAAGCACATGGCAAAGCACGGGTCAGCCCAGTGTCTGCACGTCGCCTACTCTGTCTGTATAGATTCTGTAATTAGTCTTGGGATATATAGAATAATTAATTAGATTCTGTATACATTCTACTCTGTAAGGCATTGAAGGCACACACCTACTCTGTCTGTATAGATTCTAGTCTGATGTGTGCCTTCAAATTCACTCCGATCTCCTGTGCATGCATGGGGCACCACACCCATTGTCCTCATGGCCCTCGAAGTCCAAGCCTGGCCAGGTGGGGTGAACCACAGTATTCAGCGATGGCAAGAGAGCAGCTCTTTTCTCGGCGAAAGACACGCTGTATGAGAATGAGCGGATCGCAATGGATCCACCGAGAAGAAGTGGCACCTCCCAAAATTCTGAACCGGTGGAACATGTTGTTCTACTCACTGAACATGATACACCCTGGAGTGATGCCAATCATGATCCAGGTCGCCCATTGTCGCCTGTCCGAAGAGGTTCCTTCGAAATGCCTGATCTGTGGACCTGTTGAAATGTGAAACCGGAGTCCTGTGCTCTCCACTTCGAGTTGAAAACCTAACTCAAGTCTTCCTTAATTTTTTCATGGTGGTCACGAAACCAACACGGGGAAGAAGAAAAGAAACACTGGACATACGGTCTTCTTCCCATGGTCTATCATGGACGCATCCTGCATCCTGGTCTCGGTGGTTTACTCCAGCCCGAGAAAATTCGCCTTCCAAATCACCGGTGTCGAAGGCACCCTTTTCATCCTCGTCATCCGAGTCCGCCTCCATTCGCGCCACAGAGGTGCCCGCACAAAGGGACGCGAATTGTGAAGGAAGCGGGCACCAAAAAAATAGAGAATTCGCTCTCGGACGCGAATTGTGAAGGAAGGCGTTTAAGAAGGGCGTTTTGGACTGAGGGCACGACCCATCTATGCCAATCAATCTTCACCTGACCGCGTGGAGTCTTGCTTCTTGTCCCCCACCCGTTCCACGAGGCCGCTGGCCCACCGAGGGGTTTAACTGGGACGTGCTGGGATCCTCACCCAAGGGAGCTTCCCTTCCTTTTGAAGCCGTGGCCTGACACCCATGGACCAATGTGCAAAGGACAATACAGTAGATAAAGACGGTATGACATGACAAAGGCTCGAGCCAGCTTTCTGCAGAGCTCTTTTGGAGAAAGAACCTGGCAAAAAAAAAAGAGGACGAATGACGACAATCCAACTCCTCTAGAGTGAATTTGGGTCTATCCTATCACCAGTAATAGTGGATGATGATTATTATTGCTATCATTATTAGTAGTAGTAAGGATAGTAAAGGCGTTTCTCTAAAATGGTGATTTGCTTGTTTACTGACTGTTGCAGGTAATGAGACAGACCGAGTCAATGTTCTGAGCCATGGCCGATGGCGAAGACATCGAAACTGACCGCAAAGTCGTCGGCAGCACGTGGGGCATCGCTTCGTGCTGAACTTGGACTCCTGACCGTCGACGTGTTGGAGCGGGTCGCACTGGTTACTGTTCCAGGTTACAGTGGGTCACGAACGGATATCTCCCGACAAATGACAAAAGTGAGGGTTTGTGGATCCAATTGAATAAAATGACACCAAAGTTTGCAGCTTTCTAGTTAGTAGATCTTAGTAGTAGTGTCAGACTGAAGTCAACGTTCGTCACCGCCTCAAGAAGCTACTCTGTCCAATCTCGTGAGGGTGTCCAATCTCACGCGCCTCCCGCCGAATTGGGGCATAAAGGTCCAAATGGAAGGCATAAGCAGATCCATCCTGCAAGGCTCAAGGCCAACAACGTGCCCGGTGCTGGAAATTGGACCAGACTCCTGCTGTCAAGTCGACTGACAGATTTTTTGCGCATCGATAGTCAGAAACCTTTGGCATGCGGCTGCCTCTGACAACATCCATGGGCGTTTTGAAGTTTTCTCTTTTTCTGCATCGTGTTCATGCAAGATTGTACCCCCCCCAAGCATGTGGCAATGCTAGCTGATGAAACTTCTTTGTGGCTCTTTCCAAGTGACACCATGCGATCAAGTGTGACACCTCCGCATGCGGAAAAGACATCCTCTCCCTATGATTGCTTGCAGGGTGGCTACTACATGCTACTATATACGTTTCCGTGAGTAACCTCCTCTCGCTGCGAAACGGTCCGTGTGCGAGAACGCCGTGTCCGCCTCACCCGGCCTCACCGCCTTTGGCAGCGAAGTCGAGGCTTGACTCCTCCAACTGGAAGTGGACGTCTGCAGCATCCTACGGCTTGACGACTAAGCCCTCCCAGACCGGAATCTTGAAGAAAAGGTCGCATTGTTGGAGATGGGATGCGTAACCTGGCTAGAAGTCAAGAATTCGTGTATCATTACTGAAAATAAAACATCAAAAGAATGCGAGTTACGCTAGTTCATGTCTAACTCCATGTCCTTTTGTCACTGGATGGATTTCTTCGCTGTCTATTCCATTTGGCCAATTTCCTCAAACTCTCTGTCTGTTAGACTCTTTTAGTTCATGCCTTTCACTGGTCAGCAATGTTTTGAGACGTGACGTGTGGTTTAACTTCTATATCAATATCTTAATCTTCGTGGTTAGTAGCAGCAGGATGATCTACAAACATTCTCATGCCTTTTCCAACTGCCATATGTGAGCACTTCGGGAGGTGCGATAGGTCCTACATCAAGTGTTAAACATGTGCTATCTCTAGATAATTAATTACGTTCATTCGAGCCTCGATTGCTCTTCACCGTGTCATGTGCGAACATCATTCTGGTTTGGTTGACCATTATTCGACTGGCAGATCATTCCACTCGAAACATTGGTCATCCTGTGGTGCGGCTCTGAAGCCCTGTCACACCCCGTGCGAGATCGAACAAACATCCGTCTGGTCACGAAACATGTTGTTGGGAATATGTTCAACTTGTAACAAGTTGGGAAGAGCGTCTAAGAGCGTCACCAAAGACAAGACTGATTCCCCAATGGATCTTCGTCCAATGTGACTTTCCCTTTTGACCCTCCTCTTGGCCGCCCCTCCTCCGGTGGGGTGGACCACCGAAAACCGCTTGACCAGCCCCCCGTGACCGGTGGACCTTCACATCCACGGTGACGAAGACCGAGTCTTTTCGCTGGGCCCAAAGCACTGAAGGCTGCAAGGGTGGGCCCTGCCGACGGTCTTAGCGGGGTGGGCCCTGCGGTCTGGGGTGGGCCCTGCTCAGAGAGGGTGGGGTGGGGTGGGGTGGGGTGGCATTGGCCGTTCGCAGTTGGGTGTTCAGGGTCCCGAAATGAGGTTTGGCAGCTGGGTGCCGAACAGTCTTCCAAGCAAAGAGAGTGTTTCAGCTGCGTTCTCCTTCTGCATATCAACTGGAGTCCCGCAGAACCCAATCTACTTACCCTTTCCATTGTGGGCACCTTGGATCTGCTCTGTATATATAAATATAGGTATAAGCGGAGACGAAGTTGCATAGAGAGCTACAACTATAGAGAGCTAAAGTGGTGTGCAGGTCAGATGGTCCTGTTCTGTTCGCCATAATCTCATTGGTTGAGAAACTACAAGTTCTCAACTCGTTTGAGTATGGCAAAACAAAGGCTCAAACCCAAAACGACGAGAGAGTATGCAACAAATCTATGCAATTGACTATAGAGCAAAGGATCAAAAATGCCAAAACGACTGTTGTACACTCTTCCCTTCGATCACGCGAAGAAAATGGACCAGGGAAAATGGTGCCGTTTCCCTCAGTGGAGGTAGGAGGGCAGCCACAAGTGAAAGAACTTGTGGCCATGCTCGAATGGCCAGTTTGACGCCGTGCGGGGGCGGCCGTGGGAGTGATGGATCGACCAATCCCTCCCTTCGGTGCTCCTTTCCGCCAGCATAGCCCGACATGGCGCCGAACCCACCAGCTGGGCCTATGGCCGGGCCTATGGACTTTCTCGAACGAACGCACGATGATGGGAGATGCACGAAACGCACCTGATCACAAGAGCCGTGCGACAAAACCCACGACTTGCGAGCCTTGCTTTGCAACTGTTGGTTGTGAACACAAATGATCGTGCAAGTTGCGAAGCAACCCGAGAATCACCATCAAACAGCTCCTTGAAAAACACCATGTCCATCATCAAGTATCCAATCCTGCTGTGTTTGTGAAACACCTTCTTTGGGTGTGATATTCTGCAGCCAAAAGCTCAATCGATTTCATCCGCAACGTTGCACAGCTCAATGTAGCGGCGCACGCTGTGTGTTTTGTGGGACATGGCAATCCAGGAGCCCTGGTTGAACATAAGTGAACAGAACGGACTATATATTTGACAAGGCCACTAGAAGTTAGGTTTCACCCGAAACAATTGGAAGGTCTGCCTTCATATGCAAATCCCTGATACCACGTCACGCCACTCAGTACTTTTCATGGCTCGACATCTGCTCACTCAGCGCTTGGCTTCCAAGCCTGTGGCCAGCTTGGAAGCATTGAGCGGGCTCTGCTAGTGACAAACAGGCTGGAAACACATGGATTTTGTGAAATATATGCTCTGCAACTCTGCAACTCTATTCCTTTGTTGATGTTGTTGGGGATGGCCCGGGTCCCAGCAGAGTGTGACCTTGGAACTGAGTCACGCTTGGGTGCTCCGCAGGTTTGGTGCAACTTCAGAAAACATCCCACTGTCTCGACATCTCTCACCCAATCACTCCCCTGCAACTGCAGCATGCCGCACCTGCAACCGCGCCTGGAGATCTTCAAGGCGCTTTGACTCCAAGGCATCGAGCTGAGGCGAGAATGGTGGCACAGTGCACATTAAAGGCTTTGGCAGTTGATGGGCAAAAAATCACACAAAATACTGAGATGTAGTTACCAATGTAGTTCCATGATGTTTTGTTCGTCTCTGGTGGTGCTGAATTCTTCCCAACGGCACCCTTCCAACTAGTGCAGTCTCCATCCCAACATGGTTGGATGATGTTGGATGATTAGATGCGTTTGATTTGGCCAGGGATGCCATTCAAAATCTTTTGGTTCACCCGTTTGGTCATCGTTTGCATCTGTCACTTTCGAAATCTAGTGCAGCAACTTCTTGGTTTGGTAGAGGTGACATCACTTGGGCACGCTGCACCGGTCCACACGCCTCTTTCAAGCGATCCGTGATGTCTTCCAGGTTCTCCAATGCCGTGTGCTGACGCCGCACGGAGCGTGTGGACCGCCTGGCAGTCTGAGCGTCTTGACCTCTCAGATCCTTTGAATAAACCAGCAAAAGAGATGAAGACCTCAGAAATCCTGTCTTTGGTATGGATACCATGCCACTGCAGAAGTCCCAGCCCCATCACGTTCCATCAGCGATCCGTGCACATCCGAAACCTGTAGATCAGGTAGCCAGCGAACCAAAGCACGAAGAAGGCATAGTGGATCGACACAGCCTCAGCAACCAGAAGGCCTCCACACGTTCGTTTGGATCGTTGCTAGATTGCTCCAGTGCATTCAGTTTCGTTGGACCAGCAACCAACCGGCGGATTCTCGAAAGAAATGAGGAAGTGGGGTTTCTCATCCTGCATTCCAACATCCTTTGAGGTTGGGCACCCAATGTGCCGCAGGCCCTTGCAGCTCATCTCACCTACACTATACTTGGATTTGCTTAAGGAGCCTGGACATAAATTGAATTCTCCAGAAGAGGAAATTCTCCAGAACAGGATTTAACCATAGCATGGGAAAATAAATAATCACCTTAGGACCGTAGGCAAAACCAGGTATACGTCCTGACCTTGGGCCCTTGCAAAGATGCCTGCCGTAGCGCAAACGATGAGCGAGGCGAACTCCTCGAATGCAGCTGGCTGAGCAGTGGGCTGAGCAGGTCAAGATCACAAAGTGAAGTATTAATTGTCAACTAAAGCTGATCAAATCACGTGTTGAAACACCTTGTTAAACCTGGTGCTGCCCTCATGTAAATGTCAAAAAGATTGCTCCAGGTCCTTGCAGGCCATTAAAATGATGAGCAAGCACTCTCGTGGTCAATCTGAAAAACAATGAAGATCTTCATAAACTTGACATAGACGCCCAAATGCTACAGCTTGTTGAGTTGGCACACTTAGATCCACTGGGCGCAGATCAAAGTCTTCGATCCAACCTTCAGAGAAATTTGATCCAGCCAAGGCAAGTAAATCAGGTTTAGTCTTGTGGAGTCGGATCCTCTTCTCTTGTTCATCAGTCGTGTAACACTTTTGGCAAGTCAGGTACAACCTCCATCAGCGGAGCCGAAACAAAAAGGCCTAAGGCCGCCAGCCACGTGGCAGCCACATCACATCAAACTGGCCCCACTCAGAGGGCGCTCCTGGTTTTCCTCGTTGATGTTTTGGAAACCCATGGCCAAGATGTCGGCCCTATTTGCTTGAAGCCGACGGCGTTCCTTCCGGTGCTCCTGAAGGAGGCCGGGTCTGAGAAACGAGTCAACCAGGACTTCAAAGGAGCAAACACAAGAATGATCGAGAATGTATGAAAGGACTCAAAGTGTGAATGACTTCAAAGGGGATGACTTCATACATACTTCTTTGGTCGAGTTTGGATGAAAGCACTGAAAGGACTTCATACATGGTCTGTTTGGTCGTTTTACACAGGATGGCAAGGTGCCGACAGGCCAACACCGCTCCGGAACTCCGAATTGCACGTGAGCACGTGTTCCTTCCGGACCGACATACTAGAATGATAGCTTTGTCTAAAAAAGACACATACCATATCTATACAGTAAATATAGATTATTATAAATCTATAATTACTGTTTTACTAGATAGTTGTTATTATTATCTATTATCTACAGTACATTTATGTCATATATGCTTAATATACGCTTAATGGCATATGTACATCTAAGAGTACGGTGAATGATGAACACCCCCGTCAAATCGATGAACGAAACGATTTAGACGGATCTCTTCGTCCTCGCCTCAAGGTCGGCCAAGGCCTGCAGCACTTCTGAGGCCTCTTGTTCCTGGAGCGTCCGTGGGGCGTCCGGAGACGTCTGTGAATATCTCCGACCAGTGAAACTACTGCCTTGGAGATACGACCTCAATTCTGGGAACCACTGGCTTGCAGCAGTATTTTGCACACATTCAGATGTCAAGTGATTTTTTGGAGATTGTAATATCTTCAGAGGAATGGTAGGCCATATGATTACCATCTGGGTGGGAGGCTACTGCACCCTGAGAGGCTTAACTTGGATACAGGTGGTGGATGCGTGATCACGATCCAAAAAAAATGGTTTGAAGCCACACGTGTTTGCGCCCGCAATAAAACACGTTGCATTCACATAGTACTTGAGTCGGCTTGGTACGCACAACACCTCGCACCCACATGAGGGGATCCAGTCATTCAATTGGACTTGCCTGTGACATCCTGTGATGAAATTGGGAGGAATGGAGTGAAAGTCGGGTCCGATTCCCTTGACTGCAACATTTGACTCTGCCAAAAAGAAATACCCAACTTTAGAACAGGTCGCTCAAGCCCAACGCAGTTTTTCTACGACTGCAGCTAGGCATTTTACCTGGCAAACATCACATCAATCCTGTCAAATCTTTCGACTTATCTAAGGTCCCCGACACACTGAGCAGCTGCCTGACAGGAGGCATATAATTTCCATGCACCCGATCAATGGTTTGCTTGTTTGCAAGGCCTCACACTGATCTCCTTTCTACATCTGGGTGTGTGATCATGTCTCGCTTGTCTAAGCAAATCGTCATAGTTGTCTGAGCAGGCTCGAAATCAAATGAAACCGTGCTCCCAGTGCTCCCCTTCTACCTGGGTATTGTCCACCGCCATAGCCATCTCTTGAATCCCCGCACTGGTATCAAAATCCAGTTCTCGCTCCACTTTTTGGATGTCCAACATCCTCTGCGCTTCAGGCCGATGCTCCCTTGGCCACCCCCTGCAGGGTACCAGCGAGCATCTTCGTTAGCGCGGTCGCCTCATACAGAGCTCGTAAGTTCGGGGACAGTGGCACTGGCCTCTCCTTAGTTGCTGAAGTCGTGCCAGAAGCGAACTCCCAAAGCCATTTGGAGACTATGAACGGGAGATCAAAACATCTCCAAAAGAAATACGTTATCACTTTAGCAGCTATCACTTTAGCTCAGAATCTGCAGTCTGATCTTCCTTGGGAAGATTTCGCTGCACCAGCTCTTCAAGAGGCACATCATTCCAGATTCCAGGATTCACCTCTACGCCGCGGGTTTCCCCACATGCCACACCCCAAACTCGCTCAATGGCACCACCGGATCCAATTCAACGATCAAAATCGGAACGCCAAAAGAATGAATCATAACCACCCTAGTAACGATGGCCTCCAACCTACCAGCGATATCCAGCGATGGCCTCCAACCTCCACCCTAATAGCGATGGCCTCCAACCTACTAGCGATGGCCTCCACCCTAGTAGCGATGGCCTCCAACCTACGAGCGATGGCCTCCACCCTACTACCAATGGCCTCCACCCTACTAGCGACGGCCTCCAACCTACCAGCGATGGCCTCGTAGCGATGGCCTCCACCCTACTAGCGGTGGCCTCCAACCTACTAGCGATGGCCTCTACCCTAGTAGCAATGGCCTCCAACCTACTAGTGATGGCCTCTATACCCTGATAGCGATGGCCTCCAACCTACTAGCGATGGCCTCCGCCCCGCCCTAATAGCAACGGCCTCCAACCTACTGGCGAGGGCCTCCAACCTGATAGCGATGACCTCCAACCTAATGGCGTCGGCCTCCAACCTACAGCGATGGCCTCAAACCTACGAGTGGCCTCCAACCTCTAAGCAATGGCCTCCACCCTAAGCCCTAATAGAAGACGATTAAGGCCCAAGGCCAAAAGTTAATTCAACGTGCGCCAAAGGGTTTCCTTCAGGATTCGGTCCATGTTACGTTCAGCATGATGTCGTTGATGCGTCTCAGCATGTCTAACGGACATACACGGGATGTCCTCAACATGTTTCACCTCACTTCGCCTCCTCATTCATGAAATTATGTGGCTTTGTGCTCTCTATATTATCTCTATATACCTGACTGAGAAGGGAAGGGACGAAAGCCAGCCTCCGTAAGAAGTTATCAATCAATATGGTCATGGGGGTGACCGCAGGACCCCTGGTGAGCTCCCGACCTCTTTTCTTATCACATCCTCCCACGCTATGCCTATCCTCCACATGAACTCCCACCCCATATGGGGTGCCCTTTTGCGTCTGGCTACTAGGTCTCTTCGCCATACAAGAAAACATTGTGCTGGGAGACGCACACCTCCCTTTCCTGAAGGAGTTCCAACCACTCCCACCCTGGTAGAAGACTACTTAAATAGTAGAAGACTGTTTAAATCGCCTCCTGAGCCCCTCATGATGCTAATGGCGATGCACTCTTCGGCGTCAATTACATCACTTGCATCGCAACACCCCAAAAACCATACATGTTCACTCCCTTTCGGACGCAGCCTATTGGCTGGCTGTCGTAATTAATACTATTACTATAGGAATTTCCCACCAACCGTTGATTCCAATAATATATTCCAATGACTCCTGGTACCTGGAACATGAAGTATGACTCCCGGGGCAGCTTCCGAGATTCGGTTTAGAGATTCTACATTGATTTCTTAAACATGCAAGAGACATCTTCGCGCATACCAGCTGATGCAAGAATTCCCTGAATTCCGGAAGAATCGTGGGCCTTGACTTCCCAGTCCAATATAAACCCCCTACACACTTCCGCACTCCCCACCTGATGTTTTTTCCTTTAGACCATTTGGCCCAGAGTGAGTACTGTCATGTACTGTAATTACCCTGGCCCAGAGCTGCCCCAGGCTGCGCCAACCCAGCTCTCAGCGCCCACCTTATGCAGGTGTTCTCTCGCCGCTTCCACCTCATCCTGTTCCAGTGGCACCAGCTGCGGTGACAACGCCACGGTGGCGTACAGCGCCCGGCGGCCGCCGGAGTTCGCCAAGGGCACCACCGGCAGCCAAGCCTCAGAGCCTTCGGCCAAGGACACAGGACCTGCCAGCACACACCGAGCGGACTTTGGCCGGGAAGTTGGTGGAGCTTGTGAGGGAGGATGGAGGTATTTGACAAATTGCATCCAGTCTTATAGTATACAACAATTCAATATAGTTGAAACAATTACAGTAGTTGATCTTACTTTCGGGGGCTGGACACACCATGGGTGTCCTGGAACATCACACAAACCTGCGGTGCGTCATAAACAAACCTGCTGTGCTGTCCCGGGCCTTCGCCGCCCAGGTTCAAGGCCTTCAGATCGGTGTCGAGCTTCTTCAGCACTTGCTGGCGTATGGTCTCCTCCGAGCGCACCTCTGCGGAGAGAAGTGATATCAGCGCCATGCTGTAGCTGGAGCCACGTGTTTCGCCGCTGGAGCCAGATCTCGATCTCCCAAAAGGATGTTTCAGCCATGCATCCACTGCTGGGATCAAAAGATCTGGAGGTGGTCTTCGACTGGAAACGCTACCTGAGTCGAAGACTGACAGCTCTAGGGTCGACTGGGAAGACTGACATGTCCAGCAGTCGAAGAGAGGAGTGCTGCTGACACGTCCACCACCCCCCAGCTGACTTTCGCAGGTTCAGCATCTATCAAGAATGGATTTGATCATCCTAGTCCTAGACCCCCCGCTGGACCCTGGGCCTTTCAGCTTTCCAATTCCAACAAACACAATCTATTCCCTTCCCTTTCCCCCCAATTCGCCCACGTCAGGGTGATGTGAATTTGACCTCCAATATGTTTGACTTCAGATCCTCCAAGTGGCCCAGTTGCGCTGCCACCGACGCCACCACCTCGGGTGTCGCTTGCCGCGCGCCGTCCCGCGCCGCGCCGCAGCAGCGCTCGGCGCTCCAGGCGCCGTCCCAGCAGTTGGCCTCGAAGTCGCCCACGCTGCAGCACTGCGCGAAGGTCACGTCTGGCCCAAAGCAATGCGCCGGGTCCAAGTCGACCGGGCCCAAAACACCTACAGTGGAGGGAGCATGGAGAGGAGCATGGAAAGAACAAGGGCCCTTTGTTTTCTATCTTTGTGTGTTCTTCTTGGCGGAATGGGAGTTGTGTTGATGTTCAAATGTTCCGTGATGTTCCGTGGTTTTCCTCGGCTTATTATGGGTTCGGCATGGTTCGGCTGTAGGAAGGGCCTTGTGGCAGGGCACTGGGGTCGAGAGATGGCAGGTGCTCGTGGATGAACGCCCAACACCAAAAAATCAAAAACTCGCAGCTGAAGCCGGGCCACTAGCATGGACTTCAGCTAGAATGCTTCTCCAGCCTTCTTCTTGCTGTCGCCTAAAGGGACTTTTGCACAAGGCAGTTGCATTAGAGAACAGAAGCCAGTCTGAAAATTGGTTAAAGACGCTTAAGAAAATCAAGAAAAACATCATGTCACTTGTACAGTACACAGATGTCTTCCACACTCAACTCAGGCTGTCACTGCATGCTTGCTGCATGGTCTTCTGACGCTTGCTTCTGGTCCTCCTGATCAAAAGCAGCTTGTCAGTCATGTTCAAAACGATCACCCCAGGCATTTCAGACATTGTTAGTGTGGACCTGGGACTTATCTAATCACATCAAGTCCGAATCCAAAAGACAACCGCACAGGTGAGCTGTTCACCCCACATCCCTCCACTCCAAACACCCTCCAAACTGCCAAGTAATCCGATATTCATCCGATATCCCCTCTAAACGATCGCTCAAAGCGATGAATGGCGCCGCCATGAATGGCTCCCATGGGCCCAGTTCGCCGCGGTGCGGTGCGGTGCAAACCGCGCTCCTGCTGTGCGTTCGCAGACTCGTTCATCCTTGGTGATCGCTGAATGCACCAAGAGAGGTTAAGTGACCTGAACTAGGACCCTACTGGGGTACCTATGGGATAGTCTAGTTTGGGTCATTCAACCTCTGTTGGCATCCTCTTCACGAGAACCTGGCTCAAAGCGACGAAAAGGACCTACTGGTGGAGGAAGGTGGAGGAGACAAAGGCTGAGTTCTGTGTTTCAGCAATGCACAGCAACATCGAGGTCAGTATCAACTCGAAATGCCTTTACCAGATACACCAGCAGGACCACCACAGTACCACCCCTGGTTTGGTGGTGTCATCTTCTCATTTTGTGAACCCAAGGTCGCTATACTGAGCGAATCTTTACACGTACATATATATACATGCACTAGTTACTCTTCGCCACCAAGCTTCTGTTGCAATTGCATCCTCAGAATAAGTCCAGCCGCTCTCAGAGCGCAGAAAGGTACCATACCTCAGCCGCAAAAAACAAAACGTCAGCCGGCTGACTGTACAGGAATCAAGCTCCCTTCCTGATTGGCCCGGCACATGTTTATATTGGTGTGCCCTGAACCACAAGAAGTGCTTCCAAAAGAAGAACCAGTTCGCCTGGGCCTAGACCTCACTGGAACAGAACAGGATTTCATGTCAACCGAGCTGCGTGCCAGTTGTGGCCAGGCACGACCTACTTCTGCCAGGTGGTGCGTTAAGCGCCGAGAGAAGCGTACCATGGGCTCACCTGTCTCCTGACATGATGAAAGACATGCGATAGAAACCTCTATGTGGAGTATAGGATTTCTTACACCAACTGGAAAGCCATATAGAT